CGAGATGGTATCTCATTGTTGTTTTGATTTGCATCTCTCTGATGGCTAATGATCATGAGAATTTCTTCCTGTATTTGTTGGCTGCCTGAATATCTTCTTTGGTGAAGTGTCTATTTATGTCTTCTGCCCATTTTTGAATTGGATTGTTTGTCTTTTTGTTGTTGAGGTGTTGGAGTTTTCTATAAATTTAGAGATAAATCCTTGTGAGATACATCATTGCCGAATATTTTTTCCCCAATCTGTAGGTTCTCTTTTTGACTCTTTTGAAGTTTTTTGAAGTACATAAAAATTTAATTTCTAGAAGGTACCAGCAGAACTGACAGGGAAGGCCAGGAAGCAGCAGCAGACAGATATATCATTGTTTTATATGAAGAAGAATGTGGCATCAGGATTGGAGGAAGGCTTATTAACAACCTGTGATATGCAGACAACACAATTTTGCTTGCTGAAAGTGAGGATGACTTAGAGCACTTACTGATGAAGATTAAAGACTACAGTCTACAGTGTGGATTACACTTTGGTAGAAAGAAAACAAAAATCCTCACAACTGGACCAATAAGCAGCATCATGATATATAGAGAAAATATTGAAGTTGTCAAAGACTTCATATTACTTGGTTCTACAATCAACACCAATGGAAGTAGCAGTCAAAACATCAAAAGACGTATTGCATTGGGCAAATCTGCTGCAAAAGACCTCTTTCAAGCGCTGAAGAACAAAGGTATTTCCTTGAAGACTAAGATGCGCCTAAGCCAAGCCATGGTATTTTCAATCACCTCATATGCATGGGAGAGCTGGACAATGAATAAGGGAGATCGAAGAAGAGTTGATACTTTTGAGGTATGGTGTTGGCGAAGAATGCTGAAAGTACTATGGACTGCTAAAGGAACTAACAAATTTGTCCTGGAAGAAGTGCAGCTGGAATGCCCCTTGGAAGCGAGGATGGCCAGATTTCATCTCACTTACTTGGTCATATCATCAGAAGGGACCATTCTTCTGAGAAGGCTGTCATGCTTGGTAAAGTGGAGAGTCAACAAAAGAGGGGAAGGCCCTCAACAAGATGGATTGACACGGTGGCTGCAGTGATGGGCTCAGGTATGGTAGGGATTGTGAGGCTGGCACAACTGGACAGTGTTTCGTTCTGTTGTACATAGGGTCACTATGAGTCGGAGATGACTCGATGACACATAACAACAACAACAACAGAAGGTCCCATTCATCCAGTTTATCTTCTGCTGTTTGTGCATTTTAGGTTACTCTTGACAGTCTATTTATGCCATAAATTAGGACCCCTAAATTTGCCCCTATTTTTTCCTTGAGGAACTTTATAGTTTTAGGTTTCACATTTAAGTCTTTGATCCATCTGGAGTTAGTTTTTGTGTATGGTGTGAGGTACAGATCTTGTTTCATTTTTCTGCAAATGGATCTCCAGTTTTGAAAGCATCATTTGTTAAAGAAACTATCTCTTCCCCCTTTAATGGATTTTGGCCCTTTGTTAAATATCAGCTGACCATAGGTCGATGGATCTGTTTCTGGGTTCTCAATTCTATTCCACTTGTCTATGTGTCTATTGTTGTACCAATACTAGGCTGTTTTGACTACTGTGGCTGTATCGTAGGTTTGAGATCTGGGAGTGTGAGACCTCCTACTTTGTTCTTCTACTTTGCTTATCTGAGATGTCTTTCCTTTACATATAAAATTAGTGATTGGTTTTCCTAGATCCTTAAAAAATGTTGATGGGATCTGGATCGGGATTGCATTGAATGTATAGATTGCTTTGGGTGGTATTGACATTTTCACAATGTTCAATCTTCCTATCCACGAGCATGGCATATTCTTCCATTTATGTAGATCTCTTACAGTTTCTTGAAGTACTGTTCTATAGTTTTATTTGTACAGATTTTTTTTGTGTCCCTGGTAAGATTTATTGCCAAATATTCTTTTTTTTATTTTTTTGGTTGTTATTATAAATGGTATCGATTTCCTTATTTCCTTTTTAACAATCTCTTTGCTACGGTAGAGGAATCCAATTGATTTTTGGATGTTGATCTTGTATCCTGCCACTATGCTAAATCTCTCAATTAGTTTTTTTTTTTTTTTTTTTGCTGAGTCACTTGGATTTTCTTTGCAGAGGATCATATCATCAGCAAATAGGGATAGTCTGACTTCCTCTTTACCAATTTGGATATCTTTGATTTCCTTTTCTTGCCTTAGTGCCCTGGCTAGGACTTCTAATACAATGTTGAATAGAAGTGGTGATAGAGGGCATCATTGTCTGGTTCCTGTTCGTAAGGGGAATGGTTTTAGTCTTGCTCCATTGAGAATAATGTTGGCTATTACTAAGGAGTTCTGGTAGCGTATGCCTAAGACACTTGACTGCTAACCAGATGGCTGGCAGTTCAAACCCACCAGCCACTCCTCGGGAGGAAGGTTGGGCAATCTACTTCTGTAGTGATACTGCCTCAGAAATCCAAGGAGGAGTTGCTACGAGTTGGGTCTGATTTGATGGCACATAACAACAACATTGGTTTTGCATAAATCAAAAAACTAAACTCACTGCCATCGAGTTGTTTCCAACTCAGAGTGACCCCCATTGGGTTTCCAAGGCTGTAAATCTTTACTGAAGTAGATTGCCCAGTCTTCTTTCCATGGATCAGTTGGTGGGTTTGAACTGCTGACCTACCTATTAGCAGTCAAGTCCCTTATTCACTATGCCACTAGATTTCCTTTTGCATATATGCCTTTTATTATGTTGAGGAATATCCCTTCTATTCCTATTTTGCTGAGAGCTTTATCAGGAATAGGTATTGGATTTTATCAAATGCCTTTATTTCTTCGATTGATATTATCATGTAGTTCTTTTCCTTTGTTTTATTTATGCGATGGATGGTGTTGATTGTTTTTCTAATGTTGAACCATCCTTGCATACCTGCTACGAACCCCACTTTGTCATAATGTATTATTTTTTTCATATGTTGTTGGATCTATTGGCTAGGATTTTTTTTTTTTTTTTTTGTGAAGATTTTTGCATCTATATTCATGAGGGGTATTGGTCTGTAGTTTTCATTTTTAGTGATGTCTTTGCCTGGTTTTGGTTTCAAAGTTATGCTTGCTTCATAAAATGAGTTAGGGAGGATTCCATCCTTTTCTATGTTCTGGAGTAGTTTAAGTAGGATTGGTATCAGTTCTTCTCTGAACATTTGGTAGAATTCTCCAGTGAAACTATCAGACTCAGGAAAATTTTAGAGTCACCTAGTACCATTTACTGTCTTTGTGTGCATGGGACTTGCTCAGTTTTAACACTGAAAGCTCCATGTCCTCCATGGCAAACTGGGACAATCTGTCTCCTTAGAGTGAACATAGCTGCATTAAAGTAAAGCAGCCTCTTACCCAGGGTTTGTGGATCTCCAGGGCACAAAGGGAGCCTGAGGGAGCCATGCTAGACTATTTGTGTATTCACATGTTCTGTGAAATTATACACAATACTTTGTATGTATGAGTATGTATCTGGGTAGAAAGCCCATAGCTCTCATCAGATTCTCAAAGGGATCCTCACTCTAAAAAAAAAAAAAAAAAAAAAAAGTTAAGAATAATCTTCTTAAATGTTAGGATTACTGTTAGTGGACTCTGCTCTTCTGGTTTTGGCTTTATTGGCTAGTCTAGTCTTATCTGTCAAACTAAAAGATCAAATGGTTACATATGCAGTTGCTGGAAAAATGTCTTGAAGAACCTGTGTGAAATGACTACACAGAACCTGGGTGCTTAGAAAAAAACCTTGACTTCTGAGAGATGCTTTCTCAGACAAGGGATAATTTTCTTTAAGGCCCAGGGCACCCAGCAATCCCCTCTGGCTCAATATCAGAGCACAGGGAACCATAAGCTCACCTCCACCCCTCCCAATTTGGAGACCATGGTAAATTAGTGTTCAACACATTCCAAGCACCTTCCAGTGTGTCTTGAAAGCAGAGGCTAGAAATATGAAAACTACATTGTCTAGACTCCCTTGCAGCTAGTGTTCCAGGTTTGCTTTAGAACCATGAATTGACGCACTCACATGTGATTTGGAGGGTGGAAGTAAGGCAGAGACTGTTATTTTGTTTCTGCTATTTTTGCTGACAAGGTATCTGTAGAGTATGTGACTTCTTTGTTGCAGTGTTAGCAGAGATGTCTATGCTTAACTTCATTGGTGTTGAGATGGTAGGGTGCTGAGTGTCTGTTTTGTGGGTGTGACTAGGAATAGGGAGTGGATGGTTTTGGAGCTGGCAGCTGCAGCAGCAGCTTCCTGATCATGGTGGATTCTTGGCTAAAGAAAGCTCCTGACTTGGTTGTAAGAGGCCTAGGAGCTGGCAGAATTCCGAATGTGATTTCCCGATCTTGGAAGAAGAGCAGCTCCTTTGGAAGCCCTGGTTCTACGGGGAGCTTTTGGAAGTAATGTCTGAGAGTTCAGCCTAGAGTTCATTTCTTTAGGCATCCCAATAATTCTGAAAACCATTTAATACTCTGAAATAAATCTCTTTCTGCTTAAGCCAGCTGGAGTAGATTCTGGTCTCTGAACCCAAACCTTGATCCATACAGAGGCAGAGTTAGGATATGTGACTAGGTCAGGGGACCTCACTAATTTCATCAAAGAAATAAAAGTGGCTTCTGAAGTCTTTTCCAGGATACACTAGTGGAACTTCATGAATGTAAATATAAAGTTGAAAACAAATCAGAAATCAACTCTATCATGTTGGTGATGAGGCACTATGGATTTGGAGTTTTAGGCAGCAGTGCCTTGGCAAATATTTATTTAGCAGTGTTCAAAGGTTTAAACCAAAAACCAAACCCACTGCCACTGAGTTGATTCTGACTCATAGTGACCCCCTTTGGGTTTCCAAGGCTGTAAATCTTTATAAAAGTAGATTGCCTCATTCTTCCTCCTGTGGAGCAACTGGTGGGTTTGAACCACCGACCTTCTGGTTAGCAGCCAAATGCCTTAACCGCTATGCCACTAGAGCTTCTGTTCAAAGGTCAAGGCTCTCTATTTGCCGGATACTACTACTCTGGTCACTACAGAGATGTACACTAAAGTAAGGAGAGAAATAATTAATCAGATTTGCTGTAACTTCGAGGAAGATCCTCTAAGGACAGTTCTAGTTTCTGTGTATGTTCCAATGCCAAACAATTGCGGATCACTTCTCCACTTCCTTGGACTTGGATAGTGGAAACAGGTTCCCTAAGAAGTGGACAATTACCCCTCCCAGTATCCCCAAAGCCAGGACAGCATTTATAAATTAATGCATTAGCATAGACTCTCGGGCAATCTTTGAGCTTGGTTAGTGTGAAACTGTTTCGTAAGTCCTGGTCATCTCTAGGTAAACCAATAAAATGGAATTTCCTGCCCTGCCTGGCTAAGGACTAGACCTTGGACTTCTGGTTACCCCACCCAGGCTCAGACACCTCATGAGACTCAGCTTGAAACAAAGGAGACATGTCTCCTCCATGGTCATCACTACAATAGTAGTTGATGGGAACAAGATTTTCTAGAGGCACTGGGAAGCTTCCAGAATGAAATTAGATTACAAATGTAAATAACTGACAGCTTGTAGGCCAATCAGGAGAGAACCACAATAGCAGCGCTCCTGACCTGAAGAGCTGCCATTCTCAAAATCTAGTTTCTATGGCCTCAGCAGCATTTATATCATAGTGATTCTTGCCCCAGAATCAATGATAATACTTGAGAAACTACACAGATATTAATGTGAGTCATTTTATGATAGATTATTATGCTTTCCTCCTATATAGAATGTTAAGGACTCCTGGTGGTACAACTGCTAAATGATTCACTACTAGTAGAAAGGTTGGCAGTTCAAACCCACCCAGTAGCTCTGCAGGAAAAAGACCTGATAATCTGCTCCCTTAAAAATTATAACCTAAAAAACTCTATGGGACAATTCTACTCTGTCACACAGGGTCACTATGGGTTGAAATGGACTCAAAGGCACCTAACAACAATAACATATACACTGTTAGAGGGCAGTGGTGGTTCAGTGGTGGAATTCTAGCCTTCCATGTAGGAGATCTGGGCTTGATTCCCAGCCAGTGAAGGCTTACGTTGTGATGATACTGAATAGGTTTCTAAAGAGCTTCCAGACTAACATGGAGTAGGAAGAAAGGCTTGCTTAGTGATCTATTTTTAAAAAACAGCCAATGAAAACCCTATGGATCACAACAGCCCAATCTGCAACCAATCATGGGGGTGGTGCAAGACCATGCAGTGTTTCATCCCATTGTGTATGGGGTCACCATGGGCTGGAGGTCAAGTCTCCATAGGTAAGCCCTATGGAGCTAACAGCAGCAGCAGCAACAACAATAATAACTTAGAGGATGTTAGAAGATAACCACGTAGAAAGCCAATGATGGTAGCAAAACAGAATTATCTGAATTGAGATCACGTACCTACATTAGAAAGCCCTCCTCTTGGGGTAATGCTCTCTATGGCTGCTTTCACATCTCTGGAATTCATGTGAGTCTTGAGATTAAACTGAGTAGCAGGGCTGTCTCTGGAGAGTCAGAATAAGAAATAAAAATCAGCTGGGAAGTTATTACTTTCAGAGAAAAGCAGAAATCATAGTCTTTTATATACAAATAGAATAGAAGCTTCTTCAAAGTCAAGCTGTGGTTTGAAAAATGCTCCACTACCAAATGGTTGGGAGCTCTGGTAGGTAGCATAGTGGCCAAGGCACTTACTTGACTGCTAACCAGAAGGCTGGCGGTTCAAACCCACCAGCCACTCCTTGGAAGATGGGGCAATCCACTTCCGTAGTGATACTGCCTCGGAAACCCAAGGAGGGGTCGCTATGAGTTGGGTCCAACTCAACAACACATAACAACAACAACAACAACAACCAAATGGTTGGTGGTTCGAACTCAACAGCCATTCCATGGGAGAAAGATGAGGCAGACTGCTTCCATAAAGATTTACAGCCTTGGAAATCCTAGGAGGCAGTTCTACTTTGTCCTTTATGGTTGCCATCAGTTGGAATTGACTTGACAGCAACAGATTTGGTTTTAGGTGGACAGAAGTAATAGAGAAAGGAGGAGACTGGAATCCTCCTCAGTGTATGTAGAGAGAAACAGCTTATTCCAAGACTTGTTGTTGTTGTTGTTGTTAAGTGCCGTCGAGTCGTTTCCGACTCATAGCGACCCCATGCACAGCAGAACGAAACACTGCCCGATCCCGCACCAGCCCCACAATCCCTGCTATACTCGAGCCCATCATCGCAGCCACTGTATCAATCCATCTCGTTGAAGGCCTCCCCCTCTTTCGTCGACCCTCCACCCTACCAAGCATGACATCCTTCTTCAGGGAATGGTCCCTTCTTACAACATGACCAAAATAGGTGAGACGAAGTCTGGCCATTCTTGCTTCCAAGGAGCATTCTGGCTGCACTTCCTCCAGGACAGATCTGTTAGTTCTTTTAGCAGTCCATGGTACTTTCAGCATTCTTCGCCAGCACCACAACTCAAAAGCATCAACTCTTCTTCGGTCTTCCCTATTCATTGTCCAGCTCTCACATGCATACAAGGTGATTGGAAATATCATGGCTTGTGTCAGGCGCACCTTAGTCCTCAAGGAGATATCCTTGCTCCTCAGCACTTGAAACAGTTCCTTCGCAGTTGACTTTCCCAATGCTACACGATGTCTAATGTCCTGACTGCTGCTTCCGTTGGCATCGATTGTAGAACCAAGCAATGTGAATTCCTTGACAACCTCAATCTTCTCTCCATTGATTGTGATGCTGCTCATTGGTCCAGTTGTGAGGATTTTTGTTTTCTTTATGTTGAGATGTAATCCATACTGCAGACTGTATTCTTCAACCTTCATCAGTAGGTGCCTTAAGTCATCCTCACTTTCAGCAAGCAAAGTTGTATCGTCTGCATATCTCAGGTTGTTAATGATTCTTCCTCCAATCCTGATACCACGTTTTTCTTCATATAGTCCAGCTTCTCGGATTATTTGCTCAGCATATAGATTGAATAAGTGTGGAGAAAGAATACAACCCTGACGCACTCCCTTCTTGATTTTAAACCATGTAGTGTCCCCTTGTTCTGTTCGAACGACAGCCTCCTGGTCAAGGTACAGATTCCTCATGAGTACAATCAAGTGCTCAGGGATTCCCATTCTTCTCAATGTTATCCATAATTTGTCATGATCCACACAATCAAATGCCTTTGCATAGTCAATAAAACACAAGTAAACATCTTTCTGGTATTCTTTGCCTTGAGCCAAGATCCATCTGACAACAGCTATGATATCCCTTGTTCCACGTCCTCTTCTGAATCCGGCTTGAACCTCTGGAAGTTCTCTGTCAATATACTGCTGCAAACGTTTCTGAATTATCTTCAGTAATATCTTACTTGCATGTGATATTAGTGATATTGTTCTATAATTTCTACATTCTGTGGGATCACCTTTCTTTGGAATGGGCACAAATATGGATCTCTTCCAGTCAGTTGGCCAGGTAGCTGTCCTCCAAATCTCTTGGCATAACTGAGTGAGCGCCTCCAATGGGGCATCTGTTTGTTGAAATCTCTCAATCGGTATGCCATCAATTCCCGGAGCCTTGTTCTTCGCCAGTTCTTTCATTGCAGCTTTGACTTCTTCCTTCATTACCATTGGTTCTAGATCATATGCCACTTCCTGAAATGGATGAAGATCGATCAGTTCTTTTTGGTACAGTGACTCTGTGTATTCCTGCCATCTTCTCTTGATGTTTCCTGCATCATTCAATATTTTGCCCATAGAATCTCTCACTATTGCAACTCGAGGCTTAAATTTTTTCTTCAGTTCTTTCAGTTTGAGAAATGCTGAGCGTGTTCTTCCCTTTTGGTTTTCAGACTCCAGGTCTTTGCACATTTCATTATAGTAATTGGCTTTGTCTACTCGAGCTGCTCTCTGAAATCTTCTGTTCAGCTCTTTTACCTTTCCATTTCTTCCGTTTGCTTTAGCGATTCTCCGCTCAAGGGCAAGGTTCAGAGTCTCTTCTGTCATCCACTTTGGTCTTCTCTTCTTTTCTTGTCTTTTTAGTGATCTCTTGCTTTCTTCATGGATAATGTTCTTGATATCTTCCCACAATTCATCTGGCTTTCGGTCACTGGTGTTCAATGCATCAAATCTATTCTTTAGATGATCTCTAAATTCAGGAGGGATATATTCAAGATCATATTTTGGCTCTCGTGGACTTGTTTTAATTGTCTTTAACTTCAAGTAAAAAGTATATATTCTAGTTCTGATTGTGGCATTTCCTAGCTGTGGCCTTGGGGGAAGTCATTCAAACTTTTGGGCCTCTGTCTTCTCATTTAGATAAAAACAACAACCGCAACACCTATGATACTGCTAATAATCAGAACTATTGTCAAGTGGGATTTTGCAAGTGTAAGGATCATGTCTACTGAGCGCCCAAAGTCCTGGCTGTCCTAGACACTCCTCTACAGGAAGAAAATTTCAACTACTAGCCACTTTCTGAATTACCCCTCAAACTGGAATTTCATTGTAATAGTGATGCCACTATTATAGTTATAATAGTAATTATAATAGTGTGGCTCTTGAGAGTAGGCAAGACTATTCAATTCTCACTCAGAGGATCAATGTCTATTCTATCAAGGGTTAAAAAAGATTAGCTGGAGTTTTGTTAGCCATCAAGTTGGTCCCTGACTCAAGGTGACCTCATGAACAAGGAAAAGAAATGTTACCCAGTTCTATGACCTCCCCACGATCCACTGAGGATTGGACCATTTGGCTGATTTTCAGAAGTGCATTGCCAGTCCTTTCTTCCTAGTCCATCTTGGTCTGGGCATTCTGCTGAAACTTCTTCATCATAACAACACACCAGCTTCCACTGACAGACAAGTGGTGGCTGCACGTGGCCTGCATTAGTCTGGAATTGAACTCAGGTCTCCAGCGTGGAAGGCAAGAATTCTACCACTGAACCACCACCACCCCATAACTGGAAAGGAGTTGGAGCAAATTTAACTGGAGAAACAGAAAGAGGATCCTTTTCTAGAGATAAGTCTCCACAGATAAACCCTGTGAACAGGCTTGGGAGCCACTGAGTAGTTGGATGTGCAATACTTTTTACTGCCAAGACAAGGGTGTTCCAGGAGGGAGGAGGGCCGCATGAATTGAGCGTGCTCCTTAAAAGAGTTCATGAAGCATTGACATGCAGCATTGGCCTGCTGCGCTCAGAAGGGCTGTGCTTGGTTTAATGTCCTGTGGCTGCTGCCTTAAAATTCTTAATACTTTTTGAATAAAGGACCCCACAAATTAGCAGCCAGTCCTTGCGGAAAGAGAAAAGGAGACTTGAAAATGAGGCTTTTCCACAAACACAAGGAGTAGATCCAGGAAGAAGCAGCTCTGGGCATTTTTCCAGTGGGAACTCTAAGGGGGTTCTTGTCCAAGACCTCCCTTCTGCCTTCCCTCCCTCCTTATTTTTAAATCTTTCCAGCCACCACAGTGATTTATGTTACAGGAAAAAGAGTAAAGAGGCTTGAAGGATACCCTCCTGCCCACCATTTTATTAGTGAATACTAGGGCCTGGGAGCCTGGGTGGCATAGTGTCTATGGCATTTGACTGCTAACCAGAGGACTGGCAGTTCAAACCCACTCAGTGTGTTTGAGTGGTGGTTCAGCCACTCCTTGGAAGGAAGGTTGGGCAGTCTAATTCCATAGAGATACTGCCTGGGAAACCCAAGGAGGGGGTCACTATGAGCCAAAACTGACTCAGGCTTAAGGGTTTATGCATTTATATTCTTACAGATCAATTCCAGTAAATGTTATCCTCTATTCTCAGCCACCAAGCTCAAAATCTGGACACTCCACTCATACAACCTGTGAGGAAGGTCCTCTCCATCTCTTGACACCACTTGCTTTTATTCCCTCCTCAGTATCTCTATGGCAACCATGCACTCAGGCCCACCCTCCCTGGCAGGTTCCATTATAAGAATTTCTAAAATATAATGCCAGTTACACACATATCTACTAAAGGACTGTTCCTCAAATTCAGCCCTGGGTTTAAAGTTCCTTTGCTCAAAAACCACCAGTGGCTCTGGCTGTTAATTTTCATCTTTCAAAACCAGCCCAAATTTAATTCTAATCTATCATTTTGATGCTCTTCTCACTCTCTCCCTCCCCTCCCTGTCTCCTCCCACCATGTTCTATCATGTAGTCAGAATAAACTTCTCACTATTTCCTGGCTTTCTAGCTTTGTCCCTTTGCTCATCTCTTCCCTCAGCTAGAAGTCCAAACCTTGCCTTCCCTCAAGCTCCAGCTACCTGTCTTCCTAATCCTTGCCCCAGTGTGAGGGTTATGTTTGCGTGTCAACTTGGCTGGGCCTGGTTGAGTCGCTGGGCAGCTGGTGGTAGTTATTCCCCATGATGAGACTGGCAATCAACTCCATTGTGGAATCTACCACAAGCAGCTGAGTAGCTGCCTTTGGAATGTTGTCTGCTTCCTGTATGTAAGGAGAAGCCTTTGGGAATGGTCTCTAGCCTATGGCACT